ATCTTTCATCCTTACTGTTTCACTTTCAGGCCACAATTAATGCACCATTTTAGCTGTGCCACAGTTGATGAAGCTTTAATATCGATCATTGTAATTTGAGCGTCAGAGTGACGCCGGGCCTTTCTTAATTCATCGTTCCCACTCCAACACCGACGACGACGATGATAAGAAGTACATACTGCATGTGTAATAATTATACAGACTGTGACCCTTACCCTTGTCATTGTTCAGGCTTCCATCGCCATGGCAGCATATGGCTAGAATTGGGTCGCTGCTAAACATATCTGGCATTGTAGGTGACATGTCAAAGCAAACACTAGTCTAGGTGTTACGCATACACACCTTTTCTCTGGTTGATGATTGAATAAGCAGACTCAGTTATTCACGTGGGGGAGGGGGGAGTTGTTGTGTATGTAATGTGAAACTGTTAACCTTCCTTTCAACCAGCATACAAGTAAGATACTAATACCTGGCACATTTTGCGCCCATCATGTTTTCTACATGAAGTGGGTTCAGACTAAAAACTGCTGAATGTGAAATTGTTCTTGGGCTCTCTATATCAGTAGAAACAACACTTTTTTAAAAATATGTAATTAGTGCTTAGAGGAGGGGAAAAAATGGATGATTGTTGCCTGACATTGCGTTGTACATTATAATCAAATGCAGAGCTACAAGAGCTACTTTTTGGTGCGATTGTAATTCTTGGTTGTTGGCTTTTTTTTTCGGTGGCATCACTTTTGGTTTTGTTTTTGGTTTTTTTTTTTTTTTGGTTTCGATTTTCCCCAACTCTTCAAGGCAGGTTGGACTGTGTAAACACAGGATTAACAGGCTCCAGGCTCTAAGGAATACTTGCAGGCGTAATTAGAAACCATTCATTCCTGTCAACTGCACAGTGCCTGTACATCATGCACTCTGGCTTTTAGTGTTATTGTAAAAACCAACATCCATCCTTACAAGCACTGAAACTATGCATGGTTTAGGCTGTCCTGTAGCACATGTATGAGTAATTCATTTGACCATTCAGCTACATGTAGCTTAGGTTACATCCAAATCTGTTGGCTACCATAGGTCTAGGTCTTTGTTCTAAGGAGATGGCTGACAATAGACATAGCCAGAGCTCCGGAAGCCCATTTGGCCGGGGACACAGCCTTAGACATCTTTTTAGAGGGCACACCCACATTATGGCAAAAATTGACACTGTGCGACTGTTACATAGTGATAATAAATGGCTCTAAATCCTTGTACGTGGCTCTAAATCATTGTACATTCTCCATGCATTTGGAAAGTCTTACATGGCTTTTCTTGTTCCTACATGGAATGCTAGGATCATTAAAAATTTCTGCTGTTTTTCGACTCGTCTCTCACTCGCTGGATGCCCATCACATCTTCAGTGCACTCTATAACCATTAAGGAATCACGTACCAGTATGTAGTTAGTGATGTCAATTGGCAGGCCGGAAATCAACCCTTTTTTAGGACACTGCATATTGTAAATTGCTTGTATCTGAGTGGTGCTTGTTGATTACTGTCATCATTGGACTGTCATCTCTGTTTGTACTGTGATGACTTATCAAACAAAATCCTGACTACATGTACAGTGGTGTGCTTGTGCATGTGCCTGTCTTTCAGCCTAAAATGTCACGTTAAAGGTGCATGCATTTGTTCCATTGTTAAGGAGATTTTTTTTTTAGAGGCAAAAGACACTACACCCATGGTTATCATGACTCGCACGAAATCAGCCTTTCTGTTCCCAACATAGAGAAATGTAACGTGTTAATTCAGTTTAAATTCATGCACATGCATATATATAAATATATACATGTTCCGGTAGTATGGAAATGTTGCTTTTTTTCTACCCAGGGACCAGTAATTGTTCTTAAATTGCATTTCACCTTTTTTATGAGTTTGACTTTCACAAGGCCATCTTCACAAGGCCATTTTCAGGGCTAACAAATATTCATGGGCTTAAAAAGAGATCCCTAACAAAAAAATTAAACATGTACATTGTATACAGCCATGAAAGAGAAGGTACTGGTACCCGCATCAGCGGCCAAGCCGACGTTTCGTTTGAATTTCCTAAGAGTCATACCATGGTAAAAAAAACAGGCCGAATTCTAGGTCAGTGTCAGCAGTGTGAGCTTGAGATGATCCTAGCGGATATTTTGTGTTGGATAATTGGAGTACAAGCAGGCAGGGTCGGGCTGTATTCTGGTAATAAAGATCTGAACACGCTCAGTAATGATTTACAGCACACAACACTAATGATAACACACTTGGTGATGACAGAGTTACATTTTTAAATTTCAAAGACGTTATGTTGAGAGGCATTATTAAATGGCAACCATCTGTCATACAGAGGTTTTGTGAAACTGAACCAACACGAGCTTTGAACAACCTGTACAGTTAGAATTGGCAAACCTTGTGAGAGATATATTTTTGATTGCGTTACATCCGCATGTCCTACTAGATCTCCTTGATTCCTATCGGACTTGTTAGCTCATACTGGTTGATGGCAACGTTGAATTCCCTGAATTTGATAATCCACATTTCCAGAATTGAGGTGATTTTTCTTTAATATAGAAAGCAATTATGCCCAACTTTTCAGAATTTTTGAGGGCACAGGTAATGTGTGGACTGCACTAGAGAGGCTGTGTTCACTCATGTTTTAGGGACTTGACTGACAAGGTTTCCACCAATGAAAGTGCTGTTAACTGAATGTTGATCTGGGCATAATGTCATTATAATACACTCATCTATTTTGTGAAGGATATTAATACCGGTAAACTGATCACTTTTGTGAAGGAATCAATAAATTATAAAACCATTTTCACTAGAGGCTCCAAATCAAATAGTACACATCATTTTATACATAGTAAAGAATGGTTTATCATATCGGGTTATCCTCATCACGAGTAGGGGCATGTAATATGTTGTTCTTGGAGCTATACACTAATCTAATGACTGTAAACTGGCTCACATGCCTGTTTTTGTACACCGTCACCCCAACAACATTGATCAGCAGTTTGTACAGTTATCTAAGCCTTGGAGAACTGCACTGTCAGTTTTTTTTAATTGCCGCAGCTGAATGCTAATTACATGCAACTCACCAGAGAGCAATTCTGAAGGTGTTTTGTCCAACACAGTATGTGTAAATCATTGCATCTTTCTCAGTAGAACTGGGGTTGTTAGTTACATGTACATACATGTATGTCATACATGCTTAATGACACTGGGCACGTCTCAAATTAATGCATAAATCATCGTGTTTCAGCTAAACACTGGCGAACAAAATTGCAAATGTGGACAATGTAATGCAACGATAACAAGGGAAAAAATTAAGCCTTGTTCAAAGCTTCATGACCTGAAAATCAGTGCCTTTACATCTGACTTGCTGTGCTATTTTCTCACACTTGGAAGCAAATTGCAAGTACGATCACAAGTACATTTGCCATCATCACAATTGATTGATAAAAAAATAGATCCAAACGTACATGTAATTCCATTTGACGACTAAATCTATCAGTCTGCATTGCAGATAATGTTTTACTGTGACTTGTGTCTGTACCTCTACACTTGGCCACAAACTCAGATGGATCTTACACCGTCTCCTTCATCTTTTCCCTGTTTTTGGCTACTGTCCATATACAGGTGCACGCATACATACACTGTACATATACATGACTTGTATGGACACTTTGTGGGTGCATGCACGGTATCCGATGGTCATGTCAGTCAGTGACCTGCCGGTAAACTTACAATGAACTGTGACAGCTTCTCCACTCTAGTCTTCCCACGCAGTGGGCAGACAAGTCGACCACATCAGGGGCACTTTTCTGTTTCTCAAAAAGAGATGTAAGGGAGAAGAGAAATCCTGAGCTGACACTGACAGCGGTTACGCACATCACTAACTGCCCCTTAGCTGTTAACACCCCCATAGTCGTGTATGTCAGCTCCTGTCAATGATTTATCTCTTTTTTTCCTTCATTTCCTCTCTAATTGCACATGCAGGATGGTCAGACGATGCAACCGCTACGCCGAGCACGACCCGTTCTTGGCCGGGGCGCAGCCTAGCAACCCCTGGATAACAGACGACACCACAATGTGGACGCTCAACACAATGCTGTCAGTATTGCTGTGATCTCAGGAAAAAGGCTTTCAATTAACTGTGCATCATAGCTCAGGCCACTCAAATAACGGACCTGGTTATCACTGACACATATTCAAATAACAAATGTGTGTTGAACTGATGCATGCAGGAAAGTTTAATTTTTTTTCCTTAAATTTAAGAACATTCACACTCATTGTTAACCACCAAAGAAAGCCCCAAAACAAGAACAAAATTTTGAGTGGCCTTTGCACTAAACAAGCTACTATTGTTAGTGTGCGTGGGTGGGGCAGTGTTGTCATGTGATATTGCACTCATTTGACTTTGTAGTAATAGTTAAGAGAAATGTAAGCAAGAGGGTTTTTCACTGTCATTTGACTTTAAATGAATAGTATGAAGTTTATTCACCCAGGCATTGTCAATGTTTCTGATTTTTTTTGTAATCATTAGTTATAATGCTCATGAGATTATTTCTTAATTCTTGATGTCAGTGATAACGTGGCTGTTCATGTTTAAGAAGTACCATGTTAAATCTTGTGAATATCTAAAATTACATTAAAATTTTCTATTATAAAATGTGAGTTTTCCAGAATGACGTTTTGAAGAACAAGTAAAGAAAATGGAGAGAAACACCAAAGGCAACATCTGAAATAACCCAAATAAAACAGCTAATTTTGTTTATGTGGCAATCGGTTTTACAGTTTTACACAGTAGCATACAGTAGTTCCAGAGATAAAAAGCTCTTCACATTCTGAGCCGGGGAGGGGGAGCTGGTAAGGTTATGCCCATAAGAACATGTCAACCTCTTGATAACAGTGCTCCCCATTGTCCCATTTGTATCTCCAGGGTGGACACACCCACCGAGAGACGGGTCCGTCGGTGGTGCATCAGCCTACGGGAGCTCCTGCGCGACGCCACAGGCCGGCATGAGTTTGAGATGTTCCTAAAGAAAGAGTACAGCCAGGAAAACATCCGCTTCTGGCAGGCCTGTGAGCAGCTGAAATATGCCCCACAGTCGTCGGTGCCGGAGCAGGTGCACGAGATATACAGGTGATTTGTCTTTCCTCCCCATATCCATTGAAAAAAAATGACCAGAGACGTGTTTGTACTCCGGAGAATCAAAGGCTATCCATGAAGAAGAGTGCTATTTAGCTACTTCAAGTGCCTGTAGACAGGTAGAAGATTCAGTGTGCAGTGATCAGTTTACATTGTGGATGAAGTGATGTTCAAGCCTGTAGGTAGTGTTGAGTCGTTTAAAAAAATTGACTTCGGTTTGTCATACTCCTGTACATGAAATACCTTCAGTGCCATTAGATTTCAATATGTTTGGGAATTGATGTACAAAAAGAGCAGAGTGACGAGGCTTTACATCCTCCCCCTCAAAAAAAAAAAAAATCTTATTTATTGCTGTTGCTAGTTGGCTACCAGAAGTACAGGTTAATGAAGCTTCCTGTGCCAAAGAACTTTGCTCCATCCCTTTTACCAAACTAGATATTCTTTTTCACGTTGCCCATCAGGGACTTCCCACACACTGTTTAGTGCACCATAAATGTTGATTATCATAGGCAGGCCTACAAAAGCATGGAATTGCTAAGTATTTCCCTGTGAGTTTTGTTAGTTCCTAATCTGAGCTAATGGATGCAGACCAGTAAATACATGCACATAAGCTGCCATAGACAAAAGTGATAAATGTCCCCACTTCAAAAAATCAGGAAAAAATACAAGTTTCTCAGGTGTTTAAGACTCATTTCAAATTAAAGCTCACTTCTTCATGTTTCATTTTCTTTTCAATTTTTATTGGCTTAACTGATGACTCTTGAAGATATTTCTCTCCAGAAATAATCACCCTCAAAACAGTCATGAGGCCCATTGCCATTTGGGAAATTGATTCTTATACCATTGTAAAATAGAGCAATATGGAAGGCCTCGTTTACCCCAATACATTCAGAAATACAAGCTGGCAGTCCTGCTGGTGTATGTAGATTCCATTCTCCTCCTTAATAAAAACCACCCAGTCCACGTGCCACCAAATTCTCCGGTAGCAGAGAATTTGACAGCCTACATATCGTGATTTGGTCTGGGCAGGCAACTAAGGACCTACATGTATTTACTGGCCTGTAACCTTTAGCGAGTAGCAAGTCCTCACTCACCATATAGTTTGACTCATTCAGATAATAATGTAACTAACTGCAGTGAGATTCCAATTTGTATATTTGTTGTGGCCCCTCTGTGCTTACATACAGGCCCATTAATATGCACATACTAGTTTCATGAAGGGCTTGTTTCTAAGGGACAGAAGGAAATGAGATGTCAAAGTTAAACTACAACCTCAAAAGGCAATACTGAGTGTGTCATTTGTGTTTTCACCTGAGAATTAATTATTTAATCAGATCATTTATAAAGTATTTAGTGAATTTGTAAATTTTTAATTTTAATTCATTAGGGGAAAGAGAAATTGTGATCAGTACTGATAATTAATGATTTTGACTTCCAGGGAATTCCTGGCACCTGGGGCACCCTGTGAAATCAACGTGGATGGCAGGACGGTGGAGATGACCCAGCTTGCCTTGCGCAAGCCCAACCGCTTTGCCTTTGAGGCTGCCCAGCACCACATCTTCCTTCTGATGAAGAAGGACAGCTACCCAAGGTTTCTCCGCTCCAACGAATTCAAGAAGCTGCTGACCAACGCCATGCATACCAACATCAAAAAGAAGTAAGGCCGTCTCACAAAACTGCTTGAAGATTATTCCTTCAAGAAAGCCCCTTAATCTTGAAAAATGTGTGCAACCACAGCAGTGTTTTACAGAGATACTCATTTCAAGGCAACAATAAGTCAGTTCTTCCATCGGTTGTAGCGATTGTTACTCAGTGCACGAACGAAAGATGGTCATCTCTGTGCTGAATGATATTTAGGTAGCACAAAGACTCACAAATTTTTTGCCTTAAACAAATTGCAATTTGGGGGGGGGGTTAAAAATAATGAGAATATTTCCAATGCTTCAAATGCATATGTGAAATACCCCTTGTGAACATTGAAGATATAAGAATTGCAGTTTCATATCTCACCCGGCCTGGCAAAACAAGTTTACAGCTCACCAGAACGACCTGTGAGTTAAATGGCTTTTACAAGAATCTTGCACAGTGTAAACCAATAGAAACCCCTCAATGTTGTTCACTCACATAATGCCTTTTGTATAGCAGGATGCCAAGGTGGGTGATTCGTCAAAACAAAATGCAGACTACTCTTCCTAATGGAAAGGAAAACAAAAACACTGAAACAATGAAAGGTGTAAGACTCGTTTTGTTGGGTCTGGTCATTGAACGTGTGTGCTGTTTCATCTGAGCTGATTAGCCCCTTCGGTTTGTTCCTGGTTTTTCAACTTCTTTTGTGCTGGACGTGGTTGTCTGTGAACATCAAAGCAAAACCTATAAATCATAAAGATATCAATGAGTGACTTTTTTGTAGATTCACAACTTGTGGCTCCAAGGACAATGACCCAAAACAACGAATTGACACTTAAAACAAAAAAGCAGTGGGTGCCAGATTCCCTCAGTTTATTCTTTGTACGTCTGAAATACTTACTTTTTTTTAATTCAAATTCACATTTTGATAGCAGCTTAGTCAAGTTACCTTAATTTGTTGATCCTCTTTGTGTTGCAGATTCTTTCCATTTGGACGGAATTTAATGCGCACAGCCAAAGTCACGCCTGACGCCACCCCAATGTCTCTCAGGAGGCGAGGCAGTTTTGGTGATGAGGAAGGGGAGGGACAGTCCATCGGGGAGACTGGTATGGTACACTCTCTGAGTGCCAGCAACCTCCATGACTATGAGATGACTAAAATGTGAGTACTAAGAGCTACTCAGTCTAGAGTATGTTTAGGCTTCAGTTCTACTCTTGAAGACTTCCATCAACTGTTTATGTAACAAATTTTCCATTACTGAGTGTTAGTCTAGAGGCTGTACATTAACTGCAAGTTTTGTACATATATCACCCGTTTGTTCACTGTCAATTTACTATAAGTCTTGTAAAAATCACCTGTTTGTTTGTTAGATACTGACACTTCTGAAGACATTCTCAGTGGGTTGAAATGTCACATTTTCTCTGATCTCATTTCCCTTTTGAAAGGTTCGAGCCTACAACATGAACATATCACACCATGTTTGTATCGTATTCCCCCCATAGATACTCAGATGCACAGAATGGTCACAGTACAGAGGAGAATGGCATCAAACAAACCAAGCAACCAATGAGGTGAGTCTTGACCTTGTATTATGAAATGATGTTTCTTTTCCTTTGGTGTAATGTTAACAAACGGTAAATTGTCTTAGCAGAAGAGTGTGGTTAGCTTGGTGAAGAAATCTGCAGAGAAATGAAACTTCCAACTTGGTTTAAGAGTAGAAGAGTGTGGTTAGCTTAGTGAAGAAATCTGCAGAGAAATGAAACTTCCAGCTTGGTTTAAGAGTATCCGCTCCAAGCGGAACATAAGAGGGCATGTTTTTGGTACTCACCACATAGGTGCACCATGATTCGCGCAAGTATATGCCTGTTTAACGGCAAGTACGCTGAGTACATGTAACTAATATATTCCGAGTTGTATGGTCTTTGTGTACACGCAGAATGCGTGCGAGAACCCGCTTGTAACCACCCGTCTTTCTTTTGCTGATTGGGGGTGCATTTCAGCTCGGGGCGCTTAGGGACGGGGACCAGAATTAGAAGCCATTACTACTGTTGCACCACACAGGTGCTGAGGCAGTAGTCCAATGTTTAATGCCTTGACTTTCCAACTGCAAAGATGTACAACCATAGGTTTAGAACACAAGCAAGAGTGAGATGCCACTGCACTGATGGTACTTTGTCAGATTAGTGTGCATAAAAAATCTGACTGTGATGGGTCATACAGAGTTATTTTTGTGCCCTTTGTTTGTTTGTTTCTTCCGTGCTTAGGTTTTCCTCCTTACAACCAATCCACTCAGCAGTCCTGGTGCGCAACAGCTCACTGACCAGGCTGGAGCTGGCCAGTTGTAATGGCCAGGCCCAGAGGCCGGGGTCTGGGGACAGAGACAGCACCTCCCACTTCACCACCACCACCTTCACAGTCAGCAGCAACAGCCACACCAACACCAACAACAGCACCTGCCAGCTCTTCACCGTGCCCATCTGCAACCTGCCCACCAAGAAAAGCCTTATCACACCGTGGGAGGAGGATGGCAGCTGACCCTAGGTCACAGGGTCAATGTTTGTGGCACCACATAGCCCCTGTAACTCAACTACATGTAGATAATATAAGAACGTGTAATATATGAAAAGAAAAAAAGTTTATAAAATTGTAATTGATCTATCTGTTTTATATCACAATGTCTGACATTTCAGCGTTGTCATGTTTACTTTCGTGTACGGGTGGTAAGGACAAGCAGTGCCTAACAAGAGTATGGCTTTGATATACAGTGCTGCGACAGAACACCTGTGATTGCCAGCTTAGAAACAATGTTTTATGTTTTCACAGGTCGAATGTCATTTTGTGTGTGTGTGAACTGGGCAACTTCTAATTCCAACCAACAGAGGGGGGAAAAACTTTCGTAATGATAAGCTGAAGTAGAATATAAAGGTAACTTGAATGTGTCAACATTCCAGTTGCATTAATCATTGCAGTATTTTTACCCGTGCCGGGTCAGTCGAACTAGAATCCATGAATCGTTATATTCAAGAATCCTGTGTATAATTAGTATCTGTTCTTGTCTAACAGCCCTGGACTTAACCCCTGTTGTCCAATTCTGTAGTGCCCTAAAAGCAGGCAAATGAAGAACCATCGTATTTGGAGTGTTAAATTTCTCTTTATCGTGAGCAGATACACTGCATGTAATTTTTGACATCTTTACCGAGGCAAGCAAGGGTGATGCCCTTGAAAATTTCAAAGTTTCACAGCCATAGTGGTGTCAGCAAGGCACAGCAGGGCACATGGCCTTCAAGATCATGTGATTGAACCGTCAACTGCAGAGGGCGCTGTGGGCTACTTGTTTGGCTCTGTCACTTGACAGATTGGTTGAACAGAGGCTTTGCATGGTAGCCATGTTGCAGTGCAGCTCTTCTGTACCACAGGGAAGTTTCCTTTGTACATACCCTGTGGAACAAAAAGCACTGGCCTGCAAGATGGCGGCTACGCAAACCCTCTATAGGTCCACCGAATTTCATCCCTCACCACCACAAGACTTAATTGTAGAGCAGGTTCGGTCAATTGGGTATTTGTTTTACTATAGTCAAGTATAATTTACTATTTGAAATAAGGATACGTTGACTGACTTTTTCTGATGTTCATTCCTTCTTTATAAAAGAATCTAGCTTAATTGTGTGCTGTTGCTTTTTCTCTGTTTAGCTATATTTGTGTACTTGGGCCAACTTATGTACAGAAGAGAAGAGTTTTTAAGTAAAAAAATGTTCATATCATTGTATCTTTCTGAACTGTACATAGAGATATTTATTTATAATTGAAAACCAGCATTGGTATCATTGGATTATTCTTCATCATTTAGATTGTAAAATTTAATGGCACATTGATTGAGAGTTGATGTCAATATACTGCATTGGAGGGTGAAGACAAATACCGTACCAGCCACCCATTTGTACGGGTAAGCAAGACTATTCATTAGATAAAAAGTTAGAATCTGAATGTTCCTACATGCTGTAAAATAATGAGACAAAGCATAGGAGTACAGATTTAGCAATTAATTATGCAAGACACCTACATCTTGACCTCAAATTTTTCAACAGGTGTCTACAGGTGTTTGCCTGTATTAGTAGACAGGTGTCAACCAATCAGCAGCTTTGGCCTTCTTTAGTGTTGGGGTCACATAAACGTTTCACACAAGTTAAACGTTTAGAGTAGGCTCTGGTGAACTGATGATACCTGAACTTGGTCTGTGTACCTGCAATGATTTAAAAAAAAGCAATTACACATATAAATGGTGCATTCTTAAATATGGTGCTTCTGCAAAAATAAGAGCAAATACTGATGATCCTGAGTTATATTTCCTCTACATGACACCAGCACTTGTTCCTGTAGCAACAAACGAACGGGTGCTAACACACATTCCTTTCTAAGTCATTCTCTACTGTTTCTGTGTTCTATTCCATCTTTTAAGGAATAGATCTATTCCTTATTGCATCTACTAAGCTATCACCAGTATCAAAATCACTGAGCAGTTCATTAACCCCCCCCCCAAAAAAAACCTCCAAAATTCCCCTCCATGACAAAAGTGTTTTTACAAGCTATATTTACTCTAGAAATGGTACCATTTGTCAAATAGTACATGGTAAAGAAAAGATCCAAGTTTCCTGGTTGTTGTCCAATGCTCAGCAGTGTGTAAGAACTGCAGGTACAGTTGAAATGCAGCTGTTCATTCATCTTGACAATGAAACAGATGATGAAAGCTCTGAACAGATTTCTTGACATTTTTGCCAAATATATGTTCTCAGTTTTTGTTCTACATCATTAAAAAACTTTACTAATTAAATCTCAAGCTACTTCTAAGCCGTTAGTATAAGTCTTGAAAACCAGAGAGTGCGTAAGTAACTGCAGGTGGCATCACTAATACAGTGACTGGTTAGCCGCATTCATGTGGGTAAGTTCCATCCATGGCAGCTGTATGTATTTGGAATTGTGGATGTACTTACATGTACATGTATATGTACATGTGATGTAAGCCTACTAGAACAGTTGATTGTGAAGCTTGGATACATTTTTGGAATCCTTGAAGGCAAAGTTGACTTTCCTGACACTGTAACAAGACACTTAACCATATGCTGCCGGGTGTTTTAAAAATGCAGTGCCTACGTACGGGTGATTTTCAAGATTTTACGTTTTCAAAATTCTTCAAAAATTCATAATTGTGACCTGTCACCACAAAATGAGCTGAAAGTTGGAATTTTCAAAAATTGAAATATTGGTATTTTTGAGTTCAGCAGAAAATAGCTCTCCAATGGCATGTACATGGAACACTTATGGTAGAAGTATAAGGTGACAATGTGACATTATTCTGGCAGCTTTGCGTCTTTGTTCCCGACATTGTTTCAACATTTCAGACCAGGCATGCATAATGCTTCTGTCAAAACTGCTGTGAAAATGACATTTTTAACTATATGATCCTGCGAAATATTTGGAATTAAATAGGAGACGGGTTAGTCTTTCCAAATATTACAAAATCCCCAAATTAACCTCCACTCCAATAAGATTTTGAACCTTCAAAACAGGAAAGAGCAGAATGCGACTTTACGCTCATTTTGTCGTGACAGGTCACAATTACATTTAATGGCCTTTTCCCCCAACATGAATGACTGTCTGGTGGCTACTCTTATCTGACATGCAACCTCCATTGACATCCGGGTATTTCAGCCAGGCTTGCCGCCCTGTAAAGAGCACCAAGAATTGCGAGGTGTTAAGTAATTTTCTTTGTTCCCAATGCATGCCAGTGGCGTCTTTTCACACGCAGCTGGATTAGCGTGCAGCAGTACTATATCGCTCATCGATGGGGAGGTGGAGAACTTTTGTCTGCGGTGCTAATCCGCGGGCGCGCTATGCCGAAAACAGTGGTATACTGTGTCATAACAATGACGGGTAACCACCGATAAATGCAAGCTGAAAAATGATTGCAATTCCCAGCAGCTTGGTCTTTTGTTCCGAGTACAGTCTTTTGTTACAAGGCCCAGCTCCTTTGTCTGATTTCGGGCACCTCAGCTATGCACACAAACCCGAGGTACCCAAAACCGGGTTCCTCAGCAGCATATTGTTAAAGCAGATCACGTAACTGAAACTTTCTGTATGCCAGTTTGTTTTTTGCAAATTCATTGGCCATGAAAGTAAAGAATAAATCCTCAAAGCACCCAACAAGTGATTGGAAAAATAACTGGTTCCAGCTGCCACGATGCTCCCCATGTCCCGATGTCAATAACCCATGTAACCCTTCATCCATCCGCTGTTATCGTAGGCAACACACGCAGTATTTAAATAGCAGGCCCCAGTACTAAATCAGAATGATGACAACTGTACAGGACACAATTAGCGTCAATATCGTTGTTTGATAACAAATTCATGGATTTTTTATCCTAACAATGAGCCCCCTTTCTCATTTACACTGTGTACAACAACATACAGTTGCTAATGAAATGCTTGACTAGGGTAATGGCGGCCTATCTCTGGGATACCGTGTGGTTACATGGTAGTTTAATGCCTTTTGATCGGATCATACTGCTGCTGGTGGACTTGGGACAATCATGTAATCCAATCTGTCTGATTAGCCTCTGGTTGTCAGGCTCCTTATAAGCAATCCATCACATGTGACAAAACAACTCTGGCATTTGTCATTGTTTATTTGAAGTCTGCACAAGGTAACATAATTACATCTGTTAAAATTCAACAGAGGTTAACCATTTTCAACCCAAATTAAGGAATTAAAGATCTCAATAATACGAGGTTTAAATATTAGTTTGGGATTCTTTTAGCATTTCTGCCAGTTGTCTGTGTGTGTAGAAATGACTGTAAAACTAGGCAAATGACAACTGTGTATATGTTGTAAATATAACATGTTAATTCAATTTCTTGATCAGAAATTCAAATTTATCTTTACCTTTGGCTTAGTTTACTAACAAACAAACAGAGAGATTTTATCTCTCAAATGCCGGAAAATGAATTTGATTTGTCTCAAATTTGTATTTTATTACCTGTTTGTTTGGTCTAAGCGTGGGGGTTATGAAGATTAGGTAAAAAGCTTGACATTTTAAATTAAAATGTATTCTATTGATAAGAAAAGGACACTTGTTTTCACATACATGTACTCAGTTTGAATATTTTAGTGTGAGATGCATGATTTTGTGCATGGGAAACCTTGATTTGGAAGTTTGATCCAGTACACAAAATGCAAAGTTAGCCTTTGCTCATCCCGGTCAGCTGACCCACACAGCAGAAAAAAAATCATTTCTGTATCTGGTCCAGACACGACAACGTTACTTACCCTCTGACTAATGCAACAGGGTCTGGATATGTTTATTTAAATGTCTGAAATAGCTAGTTTCTTACCCAGACCTGCCACTTTGTCTTACTTCTTCCTGAGGTCAAGTAATACCACACAATAGTTTAAAGGTATTCAAATGAGTCCTCAGTTCATTTTAAATTCTAATGTATTATGTGGTGATGCCTGACCTCAGGAAGGAATACGACAAATTGGCAGATATGCTTACCAAGGTCTGTTGTGTAACCTCCTGGCTCAAACGCAACAGCTGAATTGGGCAGCTACGGTCATAGTGCAGTGTCTTGTTGTTTGGACCATGGAGCTTTTCGATCAGAATGTGTCGTCTTTCTGAAAGGAAGCGACAAACGCACCCCAATATAGTCAGTGCAGTTGAGCAAATCTGTGTGTTGGGGGAGGCAAGCAGATTTGACCTCATGTAGCATGGGATTGGTAGCTCAAAGAATTGCCCAAAAAACAAATGCATACCTGTCAACCTTTCTGATTTAATCAAAATCAACCTATCTTTAAGCAGTGTTTTAGTTGAGTACCAAAGCTCGTGTACCGAGTTTTTCAAGTACACACAGTGCCGAGTATGGGCCGAGTCCAAGTACTTTTTAATCAAGTCCTGGGCCAAAAATCTGAGTTTGAGTTTTAAGAGTCCCAGTACGGGCTGAGTACGAGTACAAAGATATGGAGTACATCCCGAGTACATTTTAAAACTACAGCAATCAGCACCGTTACTTAAATGTGATACGTAAAGTAATTACCCAGTATTCCTTGTGATCTCTAAAGCCCCAAGACATAATTTCTGATGAAGAAGAAGACATGTCTGAATTGAACTCGCCGCCATGCGCCCGAGACTGTGTCACACATTTCCATTAAAGAGCAATTTGCCCAACCTCTTTTCCACGGGTACAAGCTTTCTGCGCCATATTAGTTTATAGAAAATGCCTTGTGTGATGAACGCCCACTCAGCCATGGAAAAAAGGTTGCAAATTTCGCTGCTATTCTTGCAGTAGGAATAGGATAATGAAAATAGTGCACCATCGATATTGTGAGTGAGTGCCAACACCCATGAGTGCCAACACCCATGCACGAATACTCAATTTAAGTCGATAAAGAATTTAGTGTATACTTTCATCATTGTCTTGACAGTTATAAGTTACGAGTAGCTTACACTCTGTGAAATTTTTGGTCAAAGTTTAGTATTGAAAAATTAGTATCAAAAAAAATGTGAATTTTCTTTCGAGTACAGTGTGACTGGATTCAAGTTAACCGAAGACAATTCGTCGAGTTAAGGGACAAGTCCGAGTACAAAATTATGAGCACGTGCTGAGTATTGCTAAAATCATTGAATCTTGATATCGTTAAATGTTCAATGCTGCTTACTGAGAGCCTCAAGGAATGCAGCATATGTTTCCTCATTTCTGACAGTGGATGCCACAACTGCTACAGGCCTTCCTTGACCATCACCCTGACATCGCAGTAACATATGCAGCAGGTGGACTAATGGCTCAATGATTCGAGTGTCGTACACCACATCTGAAGTGAAGAAGAGACTTTTGTTGCAACAAGTGGAGTGCATGACAGTAGAAAAGGTATCTTGGCTAAACTACGCCCTTAGCAGTAAACAAGTCAAAGGTTGCAAGTTACAGTCGCTAACTTGTTAAATGCACTCCACTCTAAGAGCTTGCAAACAATGTTTTGAAAGACGTGTTCTTTCATGTCATGTTGCACATACCACATCAAGATTGCGTACAGATCTGACATTCTCAGGATTCACTTGTTCAAATGATCCCACTGTGTTGGAAAACTGGTAAACCATGGTTCAGATTTTGACAGATCGTTTCCCCATGTGCTTTTAATTTTGCATCACAGTAAATTTGATAGGGGCTCGTGTCAACCAGAGAGGTGATCTCCCGATGGTGATGGAGAAACAACCCAAGGGCATGTTATTGTTTATTGATAAATGGACAAATTTTATTCACCCAATGTCTGCTGGGTAGAAGATTCATGAGTGTATTTCGAGTTATCAGTTTTAACTAGGATGGGGTCTTTCGTGAGTTGCCCAAAATCTGTCCTCGTACTGCAAAAACTCAAAAAAATTCTAGGTCAATGTTTTTGTTGACCAAAAACATGAAAAATAGAGCCTCTGTGTGGCAAACTCTTGGTGGCGCACTGTTTTGTGAATTGCCTGCCTTCCAATGGTCTATACCTGCTGCTAATGTAAGTCCAGCATTCAACCTCTTGACATCCTTCTCATCCACTGCTTCCCAGTCAATGCATTCCACAGTTATGACTGGTTCATTCTCATGTCCGCTCTGGTGGACTGGGGTGCCTGACCTTTGGGGCAAAGCTTTCCTAAGACATTCACTCAAGTCAGACCCTGAATTCAAACAACAATAAAAAAGAGAGTATCTAGACACCATCTCAGCTTTCCGGGAGTAGAAAGCTCCACAGAAGATCATTCTTGCATGGCTTATGAAAGAGGGACTGTTAATGGGAATAGCTGACGGTGGTGTATGGATTCATGCCAAAGCCTCTGAGCAAAGGTTACAGCTTCAATATTAAACGCTAACACTTTTCATTTGTATAGAGGTTTCATAAAAAATTTTGGAACTTAGCAATATTGAGTCCCCATAACTGGTGTCAGAGGTCATTGGTTCAATTGTAACACACTTTGCGGAGTAAGCATTGCTATCCTGGCTTTTCCAAATATGAAGGAATGCACAACATTCTAATGGCTGATCCAGATGTACAGAAAGGAGATGGAAAAACAGAACTGTTTTTTCCCTGATCTGGTCAGGTATTAAATTACTGACACACTTCCATTTAACTCAACATACCTGGAACATTAATGGCAATGTTCTCTCGTAGACCTCTCAGAACACTAGCATGGCAGTCTGAGAAGACATAGCTGGTGGGTTGGCAGAGTTTGCAGACAGCAAGACCAGTGAGCCCCATGCCACTGCCAAGTTCTAAAACAGCTCTATACGAGGAATGTTAATATACTATACAAAGTTCAGAACTACTGCATTGAAGGGTTTAGAATATTGAAAAGTTCTAGAACTAATTTATATAGGGAATGTAATAATGCAAAGAATGACTTGATTAGCTTGAGATTACAAAGCAACAATCCTATTAAGGGGAAGATCCACATTTATTTTTCAAAACTTGTGTGTTGTTTTTTTTAAATGTCTTTCCCCAGTGCATTTGACGAGTAAATTTCATTTCAATCGGAGCCCTGCTTACCCACCTTCCAGAGAACACCTCCTTGTTCTCCACTACCCATTCTGTCAGGCAGCTTGCAGCAGGCCAGGTGTTTAGCCCTGTGGTACCCTGAGATATCAAGCTGACCGACTCCTTCAGGGTCACTGCACAACTTGCACCAAACTTTAAGTAGAGACAAATACTAATGGTGTGATTCATGAACACGTGCTTTGTTAGCTAACGAAAGCATCACTTCTCTCTTAAGCCAGCTTTTATTTGGTTGCGGTGTCATCATTTTGCACTCTAGATCTAAACAATAGGAGCCACATATATTTTTCTCCCACACTATTGGTTAGGTCACCAATACAATAGAGTCTACACACTATTGTTCAAAATAGATGTAACAAATTAGACACATGTTCTCCGTTTTCATTCTTACCAGTATGTATGTCCTATAGCAGTGGTCCTGGGTCTCTGACTGTGGTTGGCTCAGCAGTTCTGTGTAGGTCTCATACAGGTCATCAACCACCTCATGATTGTTTTCCTCACACTATGAAAAAACAGTGTGCAGGTTTTTCATTCAAACTTTGTAACTGGCTGTTGCTGACAATAACGTGAATACAACTTTGGCAGAGTAGAAAATTCTGTTGGTTGTATGCATTTTGAATCCTCTTTTTGAGACACCTGTGGCCATGGACATAACACTGTGCCAACGTATTTCTGAACACACATGCATAGTTCTGAGCACCCACAAGAATCTAGAAAAAGACCAGTTGGCTACTGCCACCAGCGCCTAAAAGTTTCTCATGAGTCTAACTTTCAACAGCCAGCCAGCCAAAAAAGGTAAGCATGGAAAGAAATTGTCTTCTTGATGGTTTAATAGTTTGTCATTAGGTGGACAACTTGCATATCAAACAGAGTGACGACAACAAACTAACCTGAAGCATAATTTGGCCAGGATTATGGACAGAATATAATAACTGCTGGATTGAATTTCATGTATGATTTCTGAATGTCACTTCTTATTGGGGCATATATCCTAAAAAAGGTCGACTACAAAAATGCGGCCTTTCCACTGGATATAAAACATAAGACTACTGAAGATGCTGTAAATTCCCACCTTTTGTATGAGAGACTTGAGGAAAGACTGTTGGTATTTCAGTGAGGGAGGGTACTTCTTACACACGTCTGATTTTACCGTCTGTCAAGAAAGTGTATACATAAAATTCAGTACTGAAAAATTTCTGCCCTATCTTCTGTGATCGTATAGTTGCCAGGTCCCTAATTTGCCACCTGTTGTCAAGGTTGATTGGTTTTTCACTGCAAGTAGCGAGATAATTGCAACTACACTGTCATGGATGTAAAACATTTTTTAATCAACATGAACCTATTTTAAAAAAAGTAAATTTCTGAGAATACTTCAAATATTGTAGCCATTTACCATCCATTATCTGCCCCAAGCAGGACCAAGAGAGGGCGCAATTTTCATAGCAACATGGGCTAATCAAAGGGAACTGCACTTTGCCAGTTCACAACCACAAACAATGAAATGCAAGCGTTTAGTTGCATCATTACCAACAAAAATGATCCCCACACACCTGGCTCTTTTCAACCGGCGAATGAATGCTTCTGCTAAAAGGCAGATTTACATGTATTAAAAGTTGGTAAATACATGTAGGTATGCCAGTCTAAAAATCCTTTTCTTAAGGCATTCCAAACATACATCTTCGACAACTAATCTTCAAATGACAAGTTGTGAACACCATTTATTTTTCCTGCTGGACTTTTCTGTTTATTGAAACACTGGGAGAAACAAAATCTCAGGAATTCTGGTAAAACTACAAGTCACTGTTCTTCTAATTCAGATTTTAATGTAATAGAAAAATATTTACCACTCTGAGTACCGACAGCTGTGCGTCCATGTTTTGGAGAGTGTTCGCCACAAACTGATCTGAAAACTGTTCCAACACAGTTGAAAAAAATATATAAAAACTTCATAAAAAAGAATTTTCATTTGCTTATGCTTGTCAATGCTTTCATCTAAAAACTCAGTCATTTCCAACTGATTTAATTAAGTAATCAAGCTGACTTTACCTGAGCTAACGACAAATCAAACAAAAGTCTTCTTATAAGTAAACCTGAGACCTAACAAAGGAATTTGTGCATTTTCACAGCTGATTCAAACAGCTTAGCTACACGAAATAAGTGTTGAATGACTATCTGTGATTGACTTGTGATAAATTTATACAACTGATTTGATTTGAAATGGGGAGATGGTGGTTGTACCATCCACACAAAGTTCCTGACTGGTAGCATGGCAAGAAACTGTTCTTCAATCGTCACAAGGAGGGAGTCGTCCATGTCGTCTGTTAGGCCAGAGAGCCTCAAATGATCAGGAAATGTAAACATCAAAATCAGTCAATAAGTCTCCCCGACCCCGAGTCTCTGCTTTCTTTCACTTTCCAGTGCATCATGGGTCCCACAATTTGTACAGAATGTGCCGATTCGCCTAGAATGTGAAAAACAAAAATTAAAAGACCAAGTGAAAAGATATCAAGCAACTCAATGGACAAACCTTTTCATCTCATTAAGATTAAATCACGGCCTAACATGCCTAAGCATAGTACTAACATGACTAACAGGGTCATTTGACTATTTTGGAGGTGGAGATTTCTTACTCTGTACTCTATAAAATGGTAAAAACCAGCTCTGGTGTAAAATTAAGATTGTCAAGGTGGCAAATCATGATTTAGGACTGGTAAATATGCTGAAGGACATAAATGTAAGAGTGTCATACCTGCATGTAACAAGAACATAACGAATATTCTCTGGTTATACCGTCACATGCATGACTGTCATGACTAGCCTAGACTGCCGTAGCCCCACACGTAGGGCTGTAGTGGCTCTCTTTTACAATCTGTCTCTTTTCTGTGTCATAGAGACAGATTGTTAAAGAGAGCCACTAGGCCTACGGCCCTACATGTGGGGCTAAGACTAACAGTGACTGCCCCCAGTCTAGTCTGGGGCTAGCCTACAGACATCAGCTATCAGAAATAAAAATATGCACCATGAATGAATTTATGCCCCTCCCCGTTATGCCCCATTCATCCAGCGTCACGTCGAGACATCTGTAACATACATCTGATTTGTGCGTGTTCCAGCGGAATTTGTCAACATGAGTTTTTTTGCATAAAAACGTAATAACACTTTGACAAAATACCGAAAGCAAATATCGCATCAAAGTCACATATAGTAGAGGGCGCTGCGTGTCTACCGAATCAATAGGGGGCGCTATTTATTGGTCGCTGACCGACTACAGATGCACTGCGAACAACACGTGTGGGTGCGTTGGCACAAGTGCACGTGTGTAGTATACCATAGAGGGGTCCTTCCTCCATGAGTATACTGAGCGCACTGTGGTCGCTTTAATCCGTTTATTTTCGCGACTTCGTGTATCAGCAAGAATTTAGTCTGAGGAATCGCCGGCATACCTACGTGATGACATTGATGGAGTAAGTACAATGGATTTTGCTTTTAGTCCACACTTCACAGGAATAAAATTCATGACTAGGCCCAGTTCTTCAGTACCCCAAGAGCTGTGGCGGTCCAACGTCAGACCCCACCACAGTTCGGGGGGGGGAGGCCTAGTTCTTCAGTTGAGAGTGGTGAGACCTTGGATGGAGAAAGGAAAACACCATGCTGAGACTAATCCTACCTGTCGCCTGTAGGACTAGGATCAACACTAGGCATGCCTACATTAGGCTACAGTACACGGCATGGCCCAATTCTCTGGATCTGGATGAATACTCTGAAAAGCTCTAAATGAGCATCACTCAGAATGGAACGGGGGAGTTGTTCAGTACAGCTGTAGATGGTTTTGCAGTGCTGTTTTGAAGCTAGATATCTTCTCAATAGAAGTCGTGTGTTTTGGCAGCTTATTCCAATCTCTTGCCATCTTTCTTAGGAAATAATGAATGAAGATGGGATTGTGACACAGACTGTGGAAGGCAGGCACATGGCTGTAGCATGAATACAAATCTTCCAAGCTAGTTTTGACACTCTTTAGCATACCTGTATTAAAGTACACATATTTCCAGAATTCTGACAATGCATGTACTGTTCATGTAAACTTACTGACAGGAGATGCTTGGCGTTGTAATTTGGTAAGGCCAGGCACTTGGATGCATCATTAATTACCGTAGATGAGAAGGCAAAATCCCAGTCTTTCTTGCCAGACTGACAAACTTTGGCATATAAGTATTTCCAGAATTCTGACACTTTATTTGTATACAAACATCCTGTATGTTAGCCTATTAAGCCTGACACAAAAGTCAATGAAAAACTTGGTTCTTGATATACTAGTAACTTCTGTGTTAAGTTGTTGTCAGTTGATGTGGAGATCAGTGGATTTTCAAAAACTCAGATTTGAATTTAGACTCAGACCTTCTGGACTTCGACTCAAACAATGAGAACATAGCTACCAGGACTTGGCCCAAGCCCCCCTCCCTGATTTTTAACTTTATCTAACCACATAAGACTGGTGGTCTATGCGTTTATATGTCTGTGGTGCCGTGGCATGTGCAAGATGGGAAAACAGGACACGACAAGGTTTTGAACACTCCTCGGTATGTTTTTAAATTTAGGCTAATTGTCTAAGTACAAAAGGATTTGCATGGAATCCTGCAAATACATTCTGTTCATGGAATTTTGAAAGTTTTCTTGATTGACGTAGTAGTTTACAGTTCAATGAGTTGAAGTTTGTACTGTAGTGTGACATGTTACAGCAGACTGCCAGAAGTCTGTCACGTGTCTTTGATGGGTCCGATGTCCACGAGCTGGGCGGACGTCGGACCCTTCAGTTCTGGGGGTAGATAAGTGACACAAATTCCACTTTTTTCAATCAAATTTTCCCTTGAGAATGAGAGCAACCATTAAGCTTGAGATACCCAGGCTAAAGGAGGTTTTTACACCAAAAATCACAGAGGGTTTCCTCATCATTCTTCCATTTTCTTCCCAAGGATCATACCGTACCGTACATTTTGTGTACATCACACAGTGCACATGCAGCGACAGCCAGGGGCCAGTATAGCCGAGCTAGTTCCGCATGTCATTTTGACTATTTTTGGAGGTGGCAATGTTTAACCTGTCACTGCTAGCACAGCACTTGGCCTGATGGTATCACTCCACAGTGATCACACAGGCCACTCGTGCCATAATAACAATATATTCCACCCCCTACTCGATATATGGACAAACTGGCCATTGGCCCACACATGTGCACTGAGGGTGTGATGCACACAGATTGTTTAGTACAATGTGATTGTTGGGAAGAAAATGGGAGATACTTGATTGAAGCGTCCAATTTTTCAAAAATAAGATTGGTCTTAAAGTCTAAAAACTGGCATTAATTACACGGTTTTCAAGAGCTATACATGTACATGTAAGTACCTTAAGGCTGCTCTCACTTGAAAATTTGATTGAAAAAATTGAATTTGCGTCACCGGTAATGATACCTCAAAAGCTGGATTAATAAAACAGATAGCATTGCAACCCCGTATAAACAAACATGGCCTCCAGTCAAAAAGATTAGTGATTTTAGAACATCGCGTAGACATGCCCCACAGTTCTTGGGGTAAACCTCCTAAACATGGCAAATATCTTTTCTCTATCAATCATGTTCTTATTCTCAGCCTGGGCCTGTCACCTAGCCCAGATTGGACGGCACTTTTGGTCTCTTCAGTTAGGGTTATGTACATGTATGAGACCTGGGTGGGACCATGAGAGGGCACAATTTTCCTAGCAACGGAGGCTCCTTTGGTGGGAACTGCACCACAGGAGACTGTGTAGTACACGCATCACGGTTGCGTTGCTACCAGTAAATGAACTCTCCCCACCAATATGCATGGCATGGCTCTTTTCGACCAATGAGGGGGTGCTTCTGCCCAAGGCGGATAGACCTACTGTACATGTACACTGTACATTTCAGAAAGAATTCCATGATGTCTGATGATGTACACTTATCCAGGCTTTTCTTCCCACCTCTAAAACCAAACGCCTCTTCATTGTCTTCTTCATTCGTTATCATCCTGTAATTGGCACTAAATGCGTTGTCATGGTTGTTGGATGATCAGATAAATAAATAAATAAAATAAATGTAGATGTAATGTACATGTAGATGTGGCTTGATACCCTCTGCACTAATGAACCATGGAGAAAGATACCTTATGACACTGGTCTGAAAGTTCAAGTGTTTTGTGAATACCAGCAACATTTTCACTGCTAAATTTTGACCTTTAAGGACACTGTTTTATTGCTTTGAGACAGCTGGTAGTATCTATACTAATAATGTTAGGTCACTGTAGGGAAATATTGGTAGCATCAGTAATGGATTTCTTTCCGTACATGTAGGCTCTACCATCGAGGATATCAAATAATTGTGCCATCGCATTGTGATTGTTACTGTTCCCTCATGTGGCACTCTTGAAAAAATTGCCAAAAACCCCACATAATCATTTGAGAAGTTCTGTAAACTTAATGATTTCTATTATTATCTCAATTTACATGTACATACACTTAAAAAAACGTTTGTTAGAAAAGTGTTTTTAATTTTTGGGCAGGTTTAGAAGTGTCCGTTTTGCACTGAAGGAAAAACAACATTGGAAAATTGAGCCAAAATGAAAATTTCATTGGAAAGTGGGTGAGTAAAATCAGGAGTGTTTAATTAAATTAGTGGGAGTTTGATGAAATTTCACTTACTTTGAAATTTAAGGTAAAGGTGTCGCTTCAGCAAGGCACTGGAGGCAAAACATCAGACTGCACCAAAGTTAGGGGGCGCGCAGTTAGGGGGCTTCAACAATACATGAAGGATGTTGCTGTGACAACAGTAAAAGCTGAAGGGATGCATTGCTTTTGTTTTTTGGGTTTTGTTGTAGGAGGAGGTCATTAAGAGAAAATGATGGAGCAAGGAGTGGCCAATGAGTGGACAGCATCAGTGGAGAGCACAGAACTTGAGTAAGTTCCTTCCCAGCACCATTCAGTGACATGCTGGATTGAGAAAGTGAACTTTTATGTGTGTCTTAATGCCAACTTTCCCAAATTCTTCAAAATCCACCAGGAGATTTGTGGAAGATTGAGGAAGGTAGAGCCCGGCCTCTTGTAGAATTTTGGAGAATGTACCATTCTGGGGTGTATTTTTTAGGATTCGGAAAGGTTCCCAGGAACCACCGTCTTTCTATGCTGTCCTTACGTTTGCCTGCTTAAATAATCATTACTTTGTCTACACTTTGTCAGCTCTGACAAGTTTGGCCTCAAGAAAATGATGAAGTTGACTCTGATGTTAGCCGTAGCACAGACAGTGAAGGTAAGTACATGTACTTTGTCCAAAGACTGTGTGTAAAAAGACCCTATATACCGAACACTTTTGTGCAGAGTGGCATTAAATGCCATGGAAATTGTCATATTTTAGTTCTGGAAAGTAGACAAAAAGTCAATGAATTTGATTTTCAGAGTTCGTGGGAACCTTGCTTGTAACAATCAGGGCCCAATTTCTCAGCGCTGCTTAGCACGCGATTTCACGCTTACAGAGGCTCTGCATATTTCATGCATACCGTAAACTGTAAGTACAGCCAAATGCATCCTAACTTTGGATGAAAGATTTGCTTAAACTTAGTGATGTAACAACAGAAATCTCTATCCGCACGCAACCGTTAGCACAACCACCCGGAGCCCCGCCATGAAATAGTGCTCAAGGTTAGCACATTTTTCTGCTAAAGTTAGCACAATTTTTTCTCCTGACTGAGTTAAGAAGTCCCTTGAAATTAGGTCCTGACCCCACCCAGCCTGTTACACTTTGCACTCCCCAGCACTGTATGGTTTTATGGATTTAACAGTGACCCACAATAAGAGTCTATGCTGTGATGAGTTGAAACATGGATGTTTTGCTCATTTAGGGAAAAAATTACCATTACAGTGTAACTAAAACCCTTACTTGACCTTTTCTTGTTGTTTTTGTCATTTTCCCCTGTGTTTAGATGTGGGAAGGCCTCATTGCCAGGTGAATGTACTGCCATGGATGTCTTACATGAATGTTGAGGCTATCTAGCATCATGGTGCGAGTGGACTGACCGATGAAATCTCCAACGTGAAGAGGCAGGTTACGTCATAAGTAGCACAGGTAAGAGTCCTGTGTTTCATATCATTGGTGGCTTTCTGCAAGGATGAATCTGGGAAAGGGAGAGAAGCCAATTGGGGTCATGACCAAAAAAAGGAACAAACATTGTTTTTATTTGAAAAAAATGAAAGGATCTTTTTGGTCTATTTAATTTCCCTTCTCTTGAAAAGTGGAAATGTAGTCTACCCCTCAAACAACTTTAAAAACCTAGTCAGTTTCCCTATATAGTTTCTTTCATAATATACAGTAAACTCCGGCTAAGTCGGCACTCTCGGGACTCAAGAATTATGACGACTTACGTGAATGGCAACTTGTGTTGTAAGTCATTTTGCCAACTTACACATACACATGCATTGCTTATGTACAATTGTACATTAGGACTTATCACTTGACACTTCTTGGCAACCGTGGCAAAGGAAACTGATACTGAAGCACAATTTTTTTTAGTGCCGACTTACACAAAGGAATTTTTGTGGTTTTGTGGAAAAGGGACGGAGAAAAACATGCCAACTTATATGAAATGACAACTTATAAATGCAGACTTTGAAATGAAATTTCCAATGAAAATGCGTTACAGATGGTCTGGACTTTTGTCCAAAGGCCGACTTAAGATAATATGACGAGTTACACGATGCCGACTTAGTTGGAGTTTACTGTACGTTCAAAAAGCTGGCATGCCTGGTATGTCCATAGCCAGAGCACAGCGAACGCTTGCTACACACCATCTGTTCACAACCACAAAACCCCTTTGTACCCTCTGATCGCCGCCGCAATTTGTCAATGGTAAACCGCATCCTTTAAACTTTGTGTGCTGAGGTATAGGAAATTGAATATTCATGCTTTGTTGGTACTTGGTATGATCTCATGACAACATCTAATTTAATGCTTGTGCAACAGCTTGCATTACACCGTGTGCCCTAACTCTGTATGTGCAGCCATTGCCCTTAATGAACTCTTTCTTCAGGAGTTATTTTGGGAATAAATAGCCCGGTTGTTTACAAGATTTTGTGTTTTGTTTGAATCATTTTAATTGTGGCATTTGCACAAAAGAGTATTTTGTGAGATTTCACGATCACTCCCTGTGATGAAATAGCACATTTTGTTCCTAATAAACTAAGCTTTCCAGTAGTCGTGAAATTTTGTTGGCCAGTCTTGGCCAAATTCGTGCCAAGTCTTTGAACACTGATGTATTGGACGGAGGAGAATAAAATGACAAACTTTGCATGGATAATGGAACAGTGTATCAAAATTTTAAAGGTTTATTTACGATGACAAAAGTAGGTCTAATGTCAGGGATTTTTCTCTATTTCCTGGTCAAAGCAGCAATTTGTATTTAATTGCAAGCCAAAACTACAACATGTACAAGTATTGTAGGGATATTACTGGCCCCGCTTGTCCGGCTAAGATGCATTTTTGGAATGTTTTCTATTATTCGTCTGACTCAGCGGCAACCATCATTGAACACTTTGAAGTGCCTGAGTGTCAACTCCTTCTGTGTCCTTCCTCAGTGCTTGAATGCACCCACTATACTGGAATTGTCCACGTTTTCCTGGCCTAAAGTTCATTTTCCTTCATGGTTCATTGCTGTTTCATGACAAATTACCATTAATCAATGGTCCACATTTCCTGAGAAATGTTTAACATGTTCAAGGAGCAATTTGTTTTTTTTAACAGTAAAACTCATGAAATGAAGCGCCTAATCATAGACATAAAATACCTTTCGACCGACAACAGTAGGGGCATAATTTAAGAAAAGTCTCCATTTTTAATAACCATGGGAAAATGGGTGCCTTGTCCCCTGGGGTTTCATGATTTGCTGTGCAGCACTGCTCTACATCAAAGAAGATGGATTGGGGCAACTGTGGCAATTGTCCATCAAACATTATTTGGCCCTGTTGGTCTTGTTATTAAAGTTTTAACCCAGCACAGTTCTTCCTCATAATATTGGCCGTTAGTAGAAGCCAAGGTGTACATTTTGTGAAATTCAGATAAATTATTGACGTCCCCGTTTAGTCAATGTTTTGAAAAGCAAATTTAAAATATTTTTTCAAGTTTTATCTGACAGAGCACTGAGAACTGTGTTTCCAAAACATTTCAAAAATAAAGTCCAAACATTGAAATCACATACATTATGGAGATTTGTTCAGGCTTTTTGAATGTGAGCAATGAACATGGGCAAAAATTTAAGTGTTCAGAGCTCTCATTTAAAGAAGGATTTACCTTAATTTTGACATATATTGAACCAAAACACACAAAGAGACCACATTGTAAACACTTAGCAGTATTTTCAGTCACCGTCCAAAATTTTCGATTTGTATCCAACTCAACAGACATGTCCACACTGTTGAAATATTTATGCCCACACTTTTGAGATCAATCGTTGATTTCTGTAGGAGCTGTTGGTCCATAGATATTTTTGGTTTGCGGTCTTCCCTGATTGACATTACAGTATTACTGTAAAACAGTGCCCTCACTTGTTAGGAAAA